TTTTTAAGGGTGGGTCTTATTTTGTTTGCTTGAGTACAAGCAAAAGCTTAAGTTTGTGTCCGTTAATAACTAGGGATTTTGATGCATTTTATACTCCTTCTTGCTTATGCTTTGATTAGAAATTCATACAAAATAGTCCCAAAAGGCTCAAAAGTTGTGTTTGATTGCAGGTTTGATCAACAAAGTGACAAGATGTCAAAGATCAACTCAAAAGGAGTGAAACTTGTACAAGTACCAAAACAAGATAAAGCTCAGGTAAAACAAGGCCAGTGCGGCCGCACTGGGAGATTCAGAGAGCATGACTTTCAGGCACCAAGGCAATGCGGCCTCACTAGGATTTGTGTGGTCCGCACTGAAGACAATGCGGCCGCACTCGATTTCATGTGGTCCGCAGTGCAGAGAATTAGAGAAGTGCCAAGTTGAAGTTTTCAAGCCAATACGGTCCGCAGTCCATTTTGTGCGGACCGCACTAGAAGTCCCCGCGGCCGTAGTCCATTCTGTGCGGTCTGCGGTGCCCAAGTTCAGAGAGTCAGATCTTCAAGTTCAGAGCCCTAGTGCGGCCACACACCATTTTGTGCGGTCCGCACTAACCCCACAGGGGCATTTTTGTCCAGATTTTTCAGCTTAGTATAAATAGATTCTTTTCCCATTTTTAGGTTATCAGATATTGTAAGACAGCAGCTGCGCTCGTGGGTTCGAAGTTTTAAGCCATTTTGGGATTTTATCTACTTTGCAACATTAAATCTTTATTTTATCTTAGTAATTAATTAATATGAGTTTATCTTCATCTATTTCTTGTTTTTCTTCTTATATTATGAGTAGCTAGACCCATAAGCTAGGGTTGTGGCTCAACCCTAGTGTGGATAATTGATGAGTCTTGTATTTTAGGGCTAGATTGACTATGAGTGTTTGATATTTGGGCCAATTTCATGTTTTATTGTTAGATTAGTGGTTGCAAACACAAGTTTGTGCTTAGTTGACTTGAGCTCTTCTTGAGAAAGAGAGCCTAAGTCTCCGAAATTGGTCGAACAAGAAATTGGGGCGTACTCAAGAGATTGATAGTTCCAATTAAAGGGTTAAACCTCGAGAGAGTAATACCCGACTTGAACCCTAGTTGCTTGTGCAAATATGCATACCCAATTGGTCTTGAGAAAGTCAATTCAGGCAAAATCACTCGAACCACCGAGAGGTGTAGAGTGGGTAAAGTCGTGCAACGGTTATATCATACTCTCCAATTATGTCAATCATGCCTTAGACTCAAGCACCTGTCAATTGCCCACCTAGGCGAAAGTCACTACCCTAGTGCCTTTTAAACCATTTGAACAACCCTCTTTAGTTTATCTCTTAGCTTAATTTAGTTTCATTTACTACTGTAGTTTGATAAAAGTATAATTAAATCAAAAAATCCAAAATGATTAGAAGTGTAATTTGGAATACATACGCGATTCTAAGTTAGATAGAAATTCGACTCCAATCTCTAGCTCTCTAAGGAAATCGATCCCGACCCTAAACTGGGTAAAAGCTATTGCGACCCTCTCTCGCTACTCAATAGTAGTGCAGGGTAGGCTGCGATCATTCGTGTGGATTGTAGCGACTTGGGCTTAAGGAGCCCCTCCGGAGTCTGCACACCCCCAGTGAGCGCATGTACCTATCGAGTATGATTATTGAGGGCTGAGAGCCGAGTGATTGAGCTGTTGAGATGAGCTAAGTGATTGTGCCTTGAGAGGCTGTACTTGCTTTCAATTAATTGTTGCACTTAGTTGTAATTTGTCTTTGTTGTACAAATTTCTGGAAGACTTGATATCTGGTTTACTTGAGCACAAACTGATTTGACTTAAACTACTAAATTTGAAAGCATGAATGTTCTTTATTTGAAAGTTATTGAAATAAACTGTATTTGCATAACTCGTCACTACTTCTCAGTGCCTTATTTATTTATTGTTACTTACTGAGTTGGAAGTACTTACGTTACTCCCTACACCTTGTATGCAGATCCAGGTGAGACCGGTCGCAGAGATGGTTGAGTTCGTGCGCATTTGGTTATTGGAGACACGAGGTAGCTGCCGGCGTCCGCAGCCCTTGACTCTCCTTCTATTGTTATCTGTTCTTCTGTTTTGATATTTGGTGGAACATTGTAAACTCTGATTCTAGACTGGTTTTAGATGCCCATGACTTAGTGACACCCCGATGTCGGGCTATCTTTTCTGTATTTTTATTTTGAGTTCAACTCTTTTATGAAGTTTCTATTATGAAAAAACTTGACTTAACTTTTAAATAAATATCGAGGTATTTTTGAAAGGTGTCGGCTTGCCTAGTACCACGATAAGTATCATCATGACAGGTTAGAGTTTTGAGTCGTGACAACATAATTAGTTATTTAGTTAAAAATTAGTTATTGATTATTGTTTTTGAATTTAAATATCTATAAAATTTGAAAATAAGAAAAAAATTAAAAACTACCAATTCAAATTGGAAGTGAGTAGTTTCTACCTAATATAGTAGTCTCCCCCCCCCCCC